GGCAGTAAAATGTGCATAATTTGGACAGGAGATCCAAAATAAGTAGTTGTGCTTTATTCTAGTTTAACACAATGACTGAGGATTGCAAATGATTAAGGAAAGCCAAGAAACTTAAAAAAATAAAACCACACCAAAAAACCCAACATGGCTAACATTTAAATATTAAAAGGTAGTATTAACTAGATATTTGTGTATTAACTAGATATTTGCAAGAGCAGTCATGGACATGTATTGTGGTCCTCTTCCAAACTCATCAAGCTGTAGAAATGATTTTTGACCAAGTAAGAAACCCAAGTTCTTTTGAAAAAGATACCATCTTTTGTCCTAGTCACCAACTGTTTAGGACACTATTGACTAGCTCTGCTAAAACAGTCAAGCTGTCCCTTTCCAGAGGAGCCGAATGTATCTTCCATGGATTTCAACTTATGATGGAAATCCTGTGCTTTCACCCAACTTTGACTTTTTTAGATGCTCTGTATCTGACTTGCCTGCAAGATTTAGGGAGTTTCTCCACTTTAAAATAAATCTGGCCATAAAGATGGGAGATCAGTTAAAAATTGCTATTTTTTAACAATTAATGATATTACCAGATCCTGACTTCCAGATGGGAATTTGCCTGTCAGTGATAGTAACTCGTAATTACTTTTGGGAAGGGAAAAGAATAGTAGTAGATAGTTTCCAGAATGCCAGGCATGAAAAAGTGGTAATATGAGTTTTTTAACACCTCAGATGTATTTTTACCTTTTTTCTTATTCCGCCAGGCATGAAAAAGTGGTAATATGAGTTTTTTAACACCTCAGATGTATTTTTACCTTTTTTCTTATTCCACCAGTTGTTTGAATTGGGTCCAGATGGAGGAGACCATGAGACTGATGGAGACCTTCTTGCTGAAACAGATGTCTTAGCGTATGATTGTGCTGCTAGGTAAGATATTTTCCTTGCTTACTTCTGCCTACTTCTTGGTCTTTGTTTTTACTTTATTCATACACATTTTAAAATCACTTTAAATGCCAACAGAGATGATCTACATCGTTAGAAGTTTGTAACAAGTGATGTAAAACTTACACTCAAACAAAGTGTGTTGGGTAAAGTGGTAAAACACCAAATACCTCACCAAGCCATTATGGTACTAAATTAAAAGAATGAAAAATCATCTTACGCTTGCTCTTGTATAAATCAAAGTCAAAACCCATATTCCTGTGTTGCAGCAGCTCTTTTGAATACTTCTATCAAAGGGATGCTGTCAAGCCCAAATGGGCATTTGCATTGAACAACTCCAGCATTAAACTTACTGCAATAAGAAATCATCATAATCAAAAGAAGGGTTATTGTACTCATCCGTTGTACAGCTCATTAGAATACAAGAAGTTATTGCTTGAAAGATTTTGTGCATATTGATAGGGTTAACCATGTTTTAACTGCTTTTTTGTTCCCTGTTATGAAAAAATTCAACATTCAGATAATCCATGACAGCTTTTTGTAGGTTTAATTCTTAGGTATCAATACCCCTAAATATATATTTCTTAAACATTCATGTGTAATTTCTAAGAATTTATGAATAGGCTCTTGTCATTTACAAAAAAACCCTGAAATTTAATTGAAAGAACATAATGAATACTTCATTACTTTACTTGTAGTAATTATATATGAAGTGTAATTGGGTTTGTGTGTGTTAATTTAACTTAATCTCTGCTTACTCTATTTGGCGTTTGATATCTGATTGTTTCAAAATGCAAGTTCAGGATAGACTTAGGCTTTTGTAGGTCCTTCTGAATTAATATTTTTTTAATTATGACAATATTTTTCAATGAAATATTTTAAAAGTTTGACTACAAATAGATACTTGAGTTTAATAACTTAATTCCATTAATTTTCAATTTTCTTTTATAAGCAGGGTGTAATTTGTTAAAAGAATAATCTAAAAACTAATTCACATATCTCCTTTTAAATATTTTACTTCTCTCAGAGAAAAGTACGCAATGATGTTTGATGAACCAGTACTTCTACAAGCTGGCTGGTGGTATGTTGCCTGGGCAAGAGTGTCAGGACCTAGCAGTGATTGTGGATCTCATGGACAGGCCTCCATTACTACAGATGATGGGTACGTTTTTTGTCTATATCTTTTAGTGCAAAAGAAGAAGTCTAATATTACTTGACTAGTAATTGGATTATTTCTCTTTCAGGGTTGTATTTCAGTTTAAAAGCTCCAAGAAATCAAATAATGGTACAGATGTTAATGCAGGTCAGATCCCACAGTTACTATACAGGTAATACTTCGACCTCTATTTATAGCCATTTATTTACATGTTTTTTAAACAGAAGCCCTGTTAAAGTAAGAATATGTTCCATGAAATTATTGTTGTATCAAGCTAAGGAAATCAGTATCTGAAAGTTTTCCCTAAAACTTAGTGTCTTTGGTAAGTAATAAATCCGTTATACCAACATTTATTTCTTTGCAATTTTTCTCACAGTCATTCATCTGAGAATTTAATTTAGTTTTATGGAGCCTCATGATTTCACCTAACGTCCTTCAGTTTTTTGCTAGTTGGGAAGTATTCTATTTATTAGGCCTCAGTTTAGGAGCAGTATAGTATCAAACGGATTATTTTAATGAAAACAAACAAATAACAAGTTGTGCTTTACAGTAAGTTACCATAAATTTGTTATTCCCATGATAAATGTTATGTAACCATGTTTTAACAAGAAAGAACTCTTTCACTGTATTGCAAATAGATTTTGCAGATTTCCTCGGATACATACAAGACATAATTTTTATATTTTATGTATATTTATATCTTTTTCCCCTTGCCCCCACGTTGATTTGGTGTTGCTTTTTGTTTGTTGTGCAGATGTCTATTTTTGTCAAAGTTAGGTTGATGGTTGGACAAGATGATCTTTAAGGTCCCTTCCAACCTAGAAGATTCTGTGATTCTGAAACTGGGAATTTCTTCATACCACTTCCCTTGCAATGTCCTTTCTAAGCATGTCTTTTTCAGGTTCCCTTACCAGAACAGCTCACTTTTACTGGAAAGCTTTCTGTCCATAGACCCCTATCTCGCCAGAGAAAGTTTTCTTTTTGAGCAATGCACATAAAGTCCTGGCATATCCTATTAATTGTTTGGGTGGTTTCTATGGGGGCATGGCTGTTGCCAAAGACAAACAAGCCTTGGGGCTTCTGAAGGAAGGATATGGCTGAAGAGCCATGAGTAGCACAGAATGAAAGGTGCTGCAGTAACAGGTGCTGCCTGTATTTTTTACCTCCATATATATTTTACCTCCATGTATATTTTACCTCCACAAAACTAGTGTTCTTTAAGACATTTCTAATCATATAAATGTCATCTGAACAAATATAACAAATACTTGTAATAATCTCATATGTCATTAAATCTCAACTTTATTACTGATTGTCAAATTCTGCCAGTTGAACAGAATTCAAGATACTTGATTACTGGTTTAGCAGGATTAGGAACTGGAGGAAGTTGTGCTGAAATTGAACATTATTTACATAATTGCCCTCCACTTTTCTTCCACTTCTGTTCGACTTGAACAGTACAAACAGTAAAAACTGCTAAAAGTAAAAAGTGTAGTTTTCATGTCAGTTCTTATATTGTTCTTCCAGGTTGCCAACAAGTGAT